GTCAGTGTTAAAAAAAATTAATACAAACAGAGGCTTATATAAGAAATTGCATTTATACAGCCTCAAGTTAGATAGAATATTTATGCTATCTGTGTTCTTTTCTTTTTGACTTGTCAAGCAGTCTTTCTTGTGATTGCTACCTAAATGGACAGTTAGACTTGAGGTGTGTGAAGATTGAGTTCTTTTTAAAATAATTGCAATCAATCTATAAAAACTTGGATAGGATATATCTATTGAATAGTTTAGCCTCAGAATTGAAGATGAACACTATAACCCAATTACCATTTTGATAGATGAAATATACTAAGAGCCAAAACTCAATTAGAAAAAGAATAACCTTAAAGACAGTTAAGTTGATGCAGAAAAAATAAAATCCAATATCAATTCCTGTATAGAGAAACAAATAAAGGATTTGAAATAGTCAAATATAAAAGAATAGAGATAGAGAAAAGTGTACCAAAGATTTATATTGGTTTAATCGTCAATCATTAGGACCTACATTTTGTCCTTGATCCACACTGGAGAATTTCTTCCATTATCAAATCAAAATATTGCAATATCACTCTTTAGTCTCAAGTAACCCACCTTCATATCCCAACTCCTTCGATGCTTCACTTACCCTAGAGATACCACCATACCTTGGAAAATCCAAAGGATTATCAAAGAACCTGGGGATGCCACACCTTACCTCAACTGGTAATCAATTACGATGAGATTTATATGAAATATTTTCAAGAGTTCCTGTTATATATATTATAGAACTACTTTTTATAAAACATATTTATAAATAGTTTCAAGATTTACAACTACTTTTTATAAAACATATTTATCCTATGCCTAGGTGTTTAGAAGATGGTTTAAATAGTGCACAGTTCTACAATGGCCACTGCTGCTACCTGGGCTGGCTTAGTATAACAGTTTAGTTAGTGGTCATAGCAGGCTGAATAGCGGCCATAGTGGTGCTATCGGTTGTTTCCAAAATGGCCCTTTGAATCTGAGTAAAGACAATAGGGATTTTATTTGGGGTTTCAATTTCTCAAAATAAAATCTACAGCTTTAATAGTAGTAATGAAAATGACAAAGAAGACTTTGATTTAGAAGATGGTGATTGATGACTGATGATTCCTATCTAGGAAAATTGTATTTGAGTTTTGTTGGTATTAACTTGTATGTTTTCTTTAAGACACCTATGACATTTTTTTGTTAATTCTGTCATTAATTTTGATAATTTTTGAGAATTATATGTCATATCAATAAATGACCACATCAGCGGTGCTATAGTGCTTTTGCGTTGTGGAATTCCTTGGATCCTTGACTGTAGCTCTGTCTGCCATTGCGGCTGCAATAGGTTTCATGATTGGAGCATACTCCTCCATCCTCTTGCCAGTGAGACTCTGGCCAATTGAACTTTTGACTTAACATTAAGCCAATTTTCATACATTGTTTTTTTATTTGCACACAACTTAATTTTTTAAGCATATATAATTGATATATCATTTTCTCAACAGCTACGTGAGTTCTGCATGTTGGTGACGCTATATATGATATGGTGGATTATTGGCTTTCCACCATTTTATGTGATATACAGTTGATATCATATTATGTCAGACTATAAAAAATAAAAAATAAAAAAAATAGCAGTTATCCCAATATCACATATCTTGCTATAGAGTTTTTTGGAACCAGTCACTACGTGCCTTTACATGGGATTTAAAACATGGTTTAGAATTCAATAAAAAGATATGTTGGCTTGAGTTCAGAAATCTTGGATTCAACCTTAAATTTTCACAAAGCTGATTAATAATTGTTTACCACATTTGAAAATCCCTTGTTATTGGAAGATGTTGTTTTAATTTGATGCTTCACAAATTATTCTAACCAACTAGCCAATTGCTAATCAGCGATAGAGCTATCTGTTGGTTGACTTTATGATAGCCTTTATATCTCAACAGTAAGAGTTCTTATTCTTCTGTAATGTCATACATCAACATGCCATGCATTCTAATCTTTACAATAGCATGTCTGATGTATAAATCATACATATCTATGCTTATTGCTGCTTATTTAAAATTATATGATTATTTTAACCAGTAACTGATACATGAAGTCTGAAACGTTTGACACAGGGAATCTTCTTTTATCAAAATGCATATCTGTGAGCTATTTCCAACAACAGTAGAGAATTGAGATAGTAAGATACATTTTAGTGGCTGCATGGGATTTGGTTCGAATCTCCTAAATCCCTTTGCTGAGTATATAGAGATTGTCAATTTGCCATATTAGTCAGTTTTACTCTTTGTCCTATTCAATGTTATCTTCGAGGGAACAAATTACTTGGTCTTGAGCAGTAAATATATTTTTGTATACTATTAAGATAGAACAGAAACCAAGAGTTCAGCGTAGGCTTTCTTCCTATTTACTATTTATTTGATATTATTTATTTAATGGAATCTAGTTCTGGGCTCAAGGTATGCACTTGGAAGTTGGCTTGTGATTTTCATATGGAGCCATCTTCGTGACCGGTGGAAGACATGTACTTGTAGAGATATATGTTGCACACAATGCAAGATGGCAAGTGTGCTTATATGAAGTGTCTTCTGCAGGCCTTAATGAATGCTAAATTTATAATCACGGTAGCTCTTAATGATATTTGAAGGTATATTCCTAAAATTTTCTTTCTGCCTTTCTCTGGGAAAATTGATCAAATTGATGTAGATTTTATTTCAGCCCAAAGTATGTATCATGAGGTGGTCTTATTCATCCAATTCCCAAGTCCTCATGGTTGTAACTTATTGGGACAAATTTTGTAACAGAACTGGTTTTTATGGTTCTGGTGAAGTTTTATTTACGGTGCTTGAGTTTGTATGCTGATGTAACGGATTACAAAGCAGGTAAGGTACAAGTTAAATCAATTTTAATATACACAATTATTTTAGTAAATTATAAGATAGTTCTTGTATATAAAAGACTAGAGTCTGTGTTTGTGTTATTTCTAAAACACATCCAGAAGGAAGGGCCAGGCTGTAAATCATGTTTCAGTGTTTCTTCCTATACTCTTGGCTGGTTTGGTATGACGTTTGAAGTCTTGAGTCCGTGTCTATGTTTCGGATGTGAAAAAACGAAAATTATTTAAAGTAGTTTCAGTTTTTGCTTACTCACGTATTCATTGAAAAAAGAAGTTTGAACAATGTGCACATTTCATGCTATGTAGATAATATCTTTGAGTATAACCAGCTATAGATAGTCAACATACATGCTTCCTTTGATTGCTAGTATGAGCAGCCACAATTTTGCACAGAAGGACAACCATAACTTGATTAAGTAGAGTGTCAAAGTTCAGTGCTGCTATGGCCAAAAGCGATTATATGGTCCCTGTTTCTTCAAGACAAGGATCAGACGGATACAGATTTTACGTTATCTATTAGATAGTAGGAGAGTGAGTACTACATCTGTCAATTGAATTGAGACCACCAAAGCGAAAATTTAATTTAAAAGATGGTCAAAACTAGAGATCCATGATAGGGGTTGGTGCTGGTGTTGGTGTTAGTGTTGGTTGAGGTATCTTAATCATTCAAAAGTTACACTACGTTTCCATGTTGCCTGATGTCTGTTAGAAGCTGAAAAAAGGAACAAGTACTTTTGGTATCTCATTGTTATTCTTCGTCAAGACGGATCCAGAGTATAAATAATTGTTGTACCTATATATATTTCCTACATGTACTATTCGATATCTTCTTATTTTTTAATCTAATTTAGAATTATCTTTTAGGTTTTGTATCACTACAATTAACATACTAGCGGATAAGTATGTTTTTATATATTTATTTATAAGAAACATTTTGTAATATGTTAAATCCATATACAAATCTATGTATATTTTGGTTTCCGAGACTGATGCATCGATTTTGAAGTTGGTCCACTACATTTTAGATAATTGTCGTAGTTATATATTTTTTATTTTTCCTATTTGACATCTTACTACTTGTAACATCGTTTATAATTGTTACGTTTTGCATCGTTACAAGAAACATAAATAATAATCACCCAAATAAATAATGTTTAATTTATTTTAATGAATAAAAGTATGTTCTGAGAATTACGATGTGTCTCTTTAATCTAAACCTTTATGTTAAAAAATGAAAATACCAAAGGACGAGTTAAACATTCGAGTTCGGGATAAGGTCAAAGGAAAAGTTCAAGTCTTATATGTCCTTACAATTCTGAGAAAAACATATTAAAAATGCAATGGTCCGATCCTTAATAAAGAAAAACCTTAACTTTAAATATTGAAGTGTTTAGAAAAAAAGAAAAACTTGTTATTTTGCTCACTGATGTTATACTTGAGGCCTTTCACAGTATCATGAATGACAAATACAAGAGTATACTCCTTTATGAACTAAGATCATATTGAGTTTGTAACCCCACATTGAAGCATTTGTCCTTATTTCTAAGGATGACTCAACGATGATGTTGTACCTACTTTTAGCAGGTACTACATCACTTAGCTAAGTTTAGTGTCATGCATAATCAGAATTAGTTTTTTTTTTCTTTAAATAGTAATAGCTTTTCCATCAAATTCTTTCTGAAATTTCAAGGAACCAGACACCTACATAATCATGGAAGAAAGAAATAGGTAAGATAAGAAACAACAATGATTTTCTAATATACAAAATATGCAAAATAGTGTCTATCATGTATTAAAGAAGATGAACCTTCAAATCTCAATTCTTGATAGCTACTGCCCCATCTTATTTCTCAAACTATTATAGTAGTCGTTTAACAAAATTGGCATAACTTATAAAATAAAACTAATCATCAATTTACCACTTATCAAATTCATATTTCCATTGCAAAGAGAGAAAAATCATCCCACTGAATCAGAAGCTCAAGAAAGATAAAAATAGGGCAGTAAAGACATGACATATGTAGAACGGGGAGCAATCCATTCTTAGCTTTCCCAACTAAAACATGATTTAAGTCACGGAGAGTGGTGAAATATCTTAATGTGAATCTTCTTCTTCACAGAACTTGGAATACTTTTCTGAATCCATCAAGTTGTTTAGTTCACCACTGTCACTCAGATCGACTTTAATTATCCATCCATCTTTATAAGGGCTTGAGTTGACCTGTAAACGTAGGACAACATGAAAACACTTGGTGTTGATAAAAATATATTTCATGTCATGGAAATACTTTAGCATTAGATAGGCATAGTGATCCAAGATGTGGCGTGTAAAAACATGCACATAAACTCTGCATACACATCTTGTCTTTAAAAATTAGGCAATAAAACTCACCAAAGCAGGAGAGCTATTAAGCTCTTCATTCACTTCAATCACTTTTCCTGAAACAGGAGAGTTAATATCACTGGTTGCCTTCACACTTTCAACTGCGCCAAAACTATCTCCTTGTGTCACGGTGGCTCCCACTTCAGGCAATTCAACATACACAACATCACCCAAATGATCTTGGGCGTGATCAGTGATGCCAACTGTTGCAGAATTCCCTTCAACTTTTACCCATTCATGGGAATCAGCATACTTCAAATCTTTAACAACTGCAAGTATAACATGGAAGAAGCCAACAAAGCCAGTTAAGAGTTAGAGAGATGATTAAAAGTTAGCGAACTAAATCCCTTCAGGCAAAGTGTTGTTGTTGTTTTTTTTTTTTTTTCATATTTTGGAGCCACTATGTAGATTAAATAGAGAAATGTTAGTTGCAACAGCTGAAAAAAAAAAAAACAGAAGCATTTTTTTTCATTTCTACATCTTCAAATGGACATATTAATTACATTTACAATATAATTGGAGATGTGAATATGGAAAGAATCAGAAGACCGTCAAAGCCCATAAGATGTTTAAATTCAAGATATAAAACTACACAGTTTTGTTCTTGGCAATGTTTACCCAGCCAATTAGGATTAATGAGTATAAAGAATTAAGTTAGGTAAAATATACCATACAACTCAACAACAATAAATGATAAAAGTATGTCAAAAATTCATTACAAAAAATGGCAATAATTTATTTCAAAAAGCCAAAACATCTAAAAGTATTTTTCTACGAAGTATTTCTAAATATGCACCAGAAAATGAGAAAAAAATTACTCTCTAATGTAATATTAAATCTAACAAACTCTCAGTTTCTATTTACATGATCCAGTAACAAGCTCTCTGAAAAACGTATACTAACATTACACTATCATTAGTGATAAAAGAAATCCTTTTTCCCCTTCTAAACAATACAATATCATTACCAGCTCCACCCTGTTTGGGCCAGTAAGGCCCACTATGTTTAAAATACAACATAATTAGAAGGTGACAGATAATACTGCCATCATGAATGTGAAGAGATAGGAAAAGGTAAAAAAACTAATCATAATAAATTGGATACGGTATTTTTTATGCTATTTTGGATTTGTTTGTTCTTAACAAAATATGATTTATTTTTAAACAACTCCAATTGTTAACATAAATATGATAAAAGCATTAATTCAATAAACTTTTTTTTCTAAAGAAAAATGTAATGAATCAGAAGCTTTGTTGGTGGTGGGTGGTGCACTTCCCTTCCCACCACGGCTTAGAAAGCTCTTTGCCATTAAAATATGTCGAAAATATAAAGGAAAGAGTGGGAAGAGCAATGTGATCAGGGCCAACGATCTCTGCATTCATGACTGAATCCACACTAAATGTTGATACATAAAAAATGTGAAGAAACGCGAATCTTCCAATCCAGATTTGAGATGAAAGATTGAGGGAGAGACATGGATGAAAGAGAAATGCAAGTGATGAATGAAAGAGAAAGAGAAAGAGAAAGAGAAAGAGAAAGAGAAAGAGAAGGAGAAGAAGAGATTACCATGAGAAAAGGATCTGTGAAAGACAGAGATCCTGAGGTAAGAGGCAGCTCTTGAAGCCCACAATTGCCTGCAAGCCATCATCTCTCCTCTCTTCTCTTCCTCTCTTTCAACACTTTTCCACTCATCACTCTCAACACCCATTTATTTACTTATATATTCAGGGGTTGGTGAAACTTTTGTTTTTTTAAATTAAGAAAAATAAACTTGAATAAATTATTGTTTTCTCCTTTTATTTATTTAAAAATATGGTTTAATAATTTTATTCAATTTGATTCTTTCATTAATAAATAGTTTAATTAAGTTTCTTAATCAAAAAATTATAATAATGTATGATAGGTTAACAAATCATTATTATACCTTCATTGTAAATTAGTTCTCAATTTGATTCTCTGTTTTTTTAAGGTTCTATATTGTTTTCCCTCGAATCAAGACAAATGGCATCTGTTAAAGACGGAAAAGGAGGGAAAAATTAATATTGTTTGTGGGTCCACAAAAAATAAAATAATTTGTGAGATTCAATTTATTATTTTTTAGGTTTTTATTTATTTTATATTTTATTTTATCGAATAGATCCAATTTAACTTTGAATTTTCTTTATTTTCACATATTTTTCTCTACTAAATTAAACATTCAATTTTATGTTTATTTATTTTTCTTTTCTCAGTTTATTTGTTTGTTATTTTCATTCTTTCTAATTTTTTTCCTTCAAAACAAACTTAAACTCTTGCTATAAAATCCAATATATGCCTTCTTTCTATTTCTCCACTCAAACAAAGAATAAAAATGTGATATTTTATCAAATTTCTTTCTTCTTCATTTTATTTCAAGTGAAAAAAGTGTTACTTTTTGTCCATCTTATTATTTTTTATGTTTTCAATTTTTTATTTGACTCTAACTGAAAAAAAAAAGTTGAATCAACTAATTTATTTTTTCAATGATTCATAAAGGAAAAATCACTTAATGAGATATTAACCCAACTTATATAAAATACACATTATTTTTAATTCAAAATCTTAAAATATTAAATTTCAAATTTCAAAATCTTAAATCATTAAATTCAAAATCTCAAAATATTAAATTATGAGTAAATTTTTATTATATATTACTCAACTTTATTATACAGTCCTTAATTCGAACTTAGATACCTAACGTAATTTCTCTTCAAACAATTGAGATTTTTTATTAATCATTGTTCATAATAAACTTAGAAACAAAAAGTATTCAACAAAGGTTAATCAGAAAACAGAGAATCTGGTGGTGATGTTTTTCAGAATTTGTTCATTAATAGGAGAAGAAGAAAGTAAATAAAAGACAGACGAGGCTTTTTTGCATTCTCAAATGGAACTGTGGTTATTTGGCGGTGGAAAGTTAGAAAAATAAAAGTGAAGGCCAAAGAGAACAGAAGAAGCAACCAGAAAATTATGGCATGGCATGCAGTTTCAGACATTATTTGTTCCTCTAACTGACACGTTCAATTTCACATCTATGTAAAGAAGCCACGTTGCATGCATCACACCCCCATGTTCATCAACTCACTCCACTCCTTATATAAACCTCCCAATCCCCAACCATTCTCCATCACCACTTTTATTTCATTTCCGTGGAATCTTGCAAACTTCTTTATTATTTCTTCTCAAACATACATTTTAACCTTTCATATATACCATCATGGCTTCAAGGGTGGTTTTGGTTTTGGTGATGCTGATGTTGCTTGCCATGAACTGTAACTGCACCAGTGTTGGCCACATGCCTTCAACCAAAGAGGAAGGTCGTGATTTTGAGGAGGCTAAGGCAAAGACCTCAGAAACAGCCAACAAGGCCATGGACACCGGTAAAGAGGGGAAAGAAGCTGCAGAGTCATGGACAGAATGGGCTAAAGAGAAACTCAGTGAAGGACTTGGCTTCAAACATGATCAAGAGCCCAAGGAATCCACCACTAAGAAAGTCTCTGACTATGCCACTGACACTGCGCAGAAATCAAAGGACTATGCAGGTGATGCTGCGCAGAAATCAAAGGACTATGCAGGTGATGCTGCTCAGAAATCAAAGGATTATGCTAGTGGTACTGCACAGAAAACCAAGGACTGTACCGGTGATGCTACTCAGAAATCAAAAGAGTATGCTGGTGATGCTGCACAAAAGACCAAAGACTATGTTGGCGATGCTGCTCAGAAGACCAAGGATTGTGCCACTGATGCTGCTAAGAAGACTAAAGATTATGCTGCTCAGAAGACCAAGGAATATGCCAGCGATGCTAGTGATGCTGCTAAGAAGACCAAAGATTATGCTGCTCAGAAGACCAATGAATATGCCAACGATGCTAGTGATGCTGCTAAGAAGACCAAAGATTATGCTGCTGAAAAGACCAAGGAATATGCCAGTGACGCTAGTGATGCTGCAAAGAAGACCAAAGATTATGGTGCTCAAAAGACCAGTGATGGTGCTCAAAAGACCAAGGACTATGCCAGTGATGCTGCGCAGAAGACCAAGGATTATATCAGTGGTAGTGCTCAAAATGCAGCGCAGAATGTGAAAGATTTTACAAATGATGCAACGCAGAAGACCAGAGAGTACTCCGGTGATGCTGCTCATAAGAGCCGAGAAGCTTCTGATTATGCCAGTGACACGGCTCAGAAGACCAAAGATTATATTGATGATGCTGCCCAGAGAAGCAAAGAGGCGTCTGAATATGCTAATGATGCGGCAGAGAGGACCCAAGACTATTCCCGTGATGCTACCAAGAAAAGCAAAGAGGCGTCTGATTATGCCAGTGACACTGCTCACAGAACCAAAGAAAAGCTCCATGAATTTGCGTCTGGTTGGTACACTAACTTCAAAAACATTTCTTTTCTAAACACGGTATTCTACACATAGAAACCATTTCCACACACTTAATTAAGGACCTCATTTCCTTTTTCACTTGTTGGTATTAAAAGTTGTTTACTAAATCATTCCATAGTTTATTTAGCATAGATTTGTGCACATCCTACTCAGCTGGAGTGGTGTTACTTATTGGTGAGATTTACTAGTATCTTTTCAAAATAAATATTAAAGACACCATCTTCTACCTCGAAAAAATTCAGATAGCTAATTTAAAGTATTTTAAACATAATCAAGAGCACACATAGCTGGTCTAATTTGTTCTGGTTGATGATGAGCAGAGGCTGGTCAATACAGTGCAGAGAAAGCCAGAGAAATGAAAGATGCAGCAGCACAGAAGGCTAGTGACATAGCAAAGGCTGCCAAGAAAAAAACACAAGAAGTGAAAGATAATATAAGGGATGCAGAGCTTTGAAATGGCTTCATTTGCTTGTCTTGTTCATTATGCCACGAAAGTAGTAGTTGTTCAATTCTGTCATCAATAATGTTTTTGTGTGTGTATGTATATATGGGAGTGTTTGTATTTTGTCTAGTGCATAGTCGAGGTTGGAATACTTGTACTAAATATCTCTTGTTTTCTTAAAGTTTTGTTTTTTTTTTAAATAATAATATGTTCGACGTGACATTCCTTTGAGCAAGTGCGTAGCTTGTAGGATCTAAAGAAAAAATATATATTAATGATTTCGATTAATTTTTATTCAGTACTCATTGACATGAGAAAATTAATGACTATATTTATTTTGGAAGTGAAAAAAAAACGACATTAAGCTAAAATTTAATACCCTGTGGGAGACATAGAGAATCTACAAGGTATGTTCTTCTTTATGTTTGAAATTGCATTTTTTTTTAATCAAATATATTTGTTGATGATAATAATAATAATAATAATAATAATAATAATAATAATAATAATAATAATAATAATAATAATAATAAAAACAGCAAATAGAAAGTGCAGTGGGGAAAAATTAAATTTAACCCAATTTGGTGGGAGGAGGATACAATACAAAAAAACAAAACACGACTTTTGTTTTTTATTTGAAAGGAAGAAACATAAAAATATGGAGTTAAAAAATGAAAAAACAAAAAAGAGTGCAAATAGCAAAAGTAGCAGAGCGTAATTGCTTGGGGCTAATTGGGTAATGGGCTACGGTTATGAATTTGTTGGCCTTTTAAATTTGAGCAACTTGACCCATTACCCAATAATGGTTACCTGGATCTATATTTTTTTTCTTTTTTTTTTAGTATCATGACATCACATTATTCAACAATATAACATGTGATAATTTAAATTGACAAATTTTTAAACTAAAAGAAATTTTAATTTTATATGAACATCCAAATCATGAAAACTGTTGATGAAAAAGTTAAAAATTAATATTAAATGCAACATGATTAAATATGGTAAGATATTAATTTGTTTACAAGTTAAAATTCTGCGTGGGTTCTCGCTTTAAAATAATCAAATCCAATTTGTTCGTAATTTTATTTCAATTAATCGGTCAAAAAATGTCATATATTTCAAAATATAAATATGATATTACAAAATCATTTATTTTACGTCAAAGTGACAAAAACTGAAAAAAAAATTGAAAACTTCTATTTTCTAAACTATAGACCAAAATTATTTAATTTTTTTTAACAAAATTCACTTTCTTTTTTGCACGTCTTCCTCGTTTTGAAGCTATTTTGTTGTCTTTAAAAAAGAGCATCACCACCGACTTTTGTGTTGATGCACAAAAGTTCTCCACGATATTTTTATTATGATTAATTTCATTTATCTTACAATTAAGATAATTATAAACAAATTGCATATTCTCCTTTTTTTATTTTCTGTTGATATAATACTAGTTTTTAACAAATATATATTGTACATAAAAAATGTTTATATATATAATAATTAAAAGAGGATGAAGAATATGAGAAAAATATTTGTATGATCAATAATCACTAAGAGATAATATAGGAAAAATATAATAAAAAGAGTAAAAATAAAAAGAGTACAAATACGTGAGATAGTGAAAAAAATGTATTGTAAAAAACGAATAATATAAAAAATTGTGAAAACGTATTTTCATTAATATATATAAAAAAGAGAGAGAGAATGTATAATCTAATTTGATTCGAGCAATTTTTTATTTTTTTTGTCAATTATGTTAATTTTTATTAATAGAAAAATTGATCCTTATCACTTAATCAACTTTATAGTGATTTTTAATTTGGCACTTGTAAATATAATATGATTTTAATTAAATTCGTGGGCATTATTAACTTGGAATAAATTATTTGTAATAAAATAAATCGTTAAAGTCCATTTGATGGAATTGACATATGAAAATAAAATGAATAAGTTAACAGATAAGCAGAGTAAAGGTATATATTTTGTGAGACGTGTATTGTGTGAGGTTGGGGCAATACACGGCATGTCATAATCAGAACCAACATTTTTGGCCCTTTTTAAAGCTGCTGCCACACTCACAGGTGGATTTAGGGTTTGATAAACACGTGATGCTTCCATTCTTCACATGTATAATACCTACCGAAACTTCTTTTTCTTATTATTATTATTATTATTATTATTATTATTATTATTATTATTATTATAAATTCTATCTTAAAATAAAAGTGTTTTAATTTGAGATATTATTTATTTTACAATTTTAATATTTCATGATTTTATCTTTAAAAATGTTTTAATAAATAAATATATATATATATATATATAAATATATTTCAATTTAATTCCTAAACGATTTATGAATATATTATAATTATTTAATATTTTTAAAAGGATTAATAATATTTAATAGAATGGTAGAATGAGAAAGTTTTAAAATGTATACACGTGTTCTACCAAACCCCCAAAAAAGCACAACACAATGTGGTTATTAACATTATAATTTATAATATTATTCCAGTTGTTACTCTGGGACCACGATTCCCCTACTTCACTAATTTAATTCTCTCATTAATTAATAATTAAACATATAAAATATAAGATTTATAAGATTGTATACATCTAAAAAATCTAACAGGGGTTCAGTAAAAGGTTATCGAAGAACTTTAACAACAGCCATTAAAATATACTATCATATATTCTTCCGTATACATTTGAGAAAGTTTAGTTTCATTTTATTTTATTTTAAATATTTTAGGCGAAAATAATGTGTTCAAAATTATAACTGATATCTAATATAATAGTTGAAATTTTTTTATTTTTTTATAAATTTAAAAAATGAAGTTTTAGTTATCATTTAACATTCTTTTTCCTTTTAGATTTGTACATATTTTTTTCTTATGTAAAGGTTATTATTATTTTTTAAAATAAATTAATTGTCTTAAATTTTATAACAAATTTATTTTAAAATAAATGATTTTTAATTATAATTTATTAAAAAATAGTATACTTTTTAATATCTTTAAATATATATATATATATATATATATATATATATATATATATATATATATATAGTTTGAACTTCATCTGGAAAACTAATTTAAAGAAATGAGAATGATTGCATCATGTAATATCTAAGTTTCAACCCTTTTTTTATTAATTATAAAACGCCTATGTGGGTAATTATGTATTTTTAATACTAAATAGTAGGGTTGTTTATGAGATGAACTTAGAGTGTGCTCTTATCTAATTTTAATTTATAATCAAACCGTCTACTTTAATTCAAAATTTATATAATTAGGACTCCATAATACATAATTTAAGGATGGAGTCAACTTAACGAATGGAATTGTCAATCTTAATCTTATATACAATTAAGTCAAAGAATTAAAAAAGAAGAAGAGATAATTATAACTAGGATATATTTAAAAAAAGTACTAATATAAGTACAATATTATGTTACATAAAACATTATTCATGAAGTAAAAACAAGTTTTATTTTTAATAGATAATTGTTTAAAATATTATATTTTCAAAGATAATATGTAATATGTGATGAATTCAAGATGATTATAAGAGTAATCTAAATTTGTATATACAATACTCTGAATTTATTTTTAAACTAATTTTGTTACAACTTGAAGTCACACTAACATATTTTGCTTTAAAATAGGTATATTATGATTTAAGTATTTCTTAGACCAATCTTAAATTTACATATTACATCATTAGTTTTAGAAAATATGTTACTTTAATATCATTCACAATTTCATAACTCTATTATCAAGAGGTCATATTCTAATTAATTGTAAACAAAACATTAGTTAAATAAATTTTAGCTGTTCAAACATCATTTCATTTTCAAATTTTGAATTCCTTAATTATTGATTTCAGTTATTTTAAATAATTTACTTTTCTTAATTGACTGTACCTTTTTGAATTTTTTTATAACTCATAACTTGGATAATAATACATTTTATGTATAGAAATTCTGATTAAAAAATTAATATTCAATAAATTAATATTTTAATTGTTACTTTTATTAAATATCTTATATTTAATTAATACAATAATTAATATTAAATAAATAATTTTATTTACTATAATGGGAGAGAGGTATCCACTTTGTTAGCCTAACTTAGTAATTATTTAAATAAATTCCATGATTAGAAAACTATTTATTTATACATTTATAAAAAATATAAAATTAATAATATGAAATGTTATATTATATCTATGTAATAAATACAATTAATATGAAATATTTAATTCTTTACTAAATGTAATTAAGTAGAGTTGGGCACAACAATGTAATTAAATAGGATTAAATTAAATTATTTAATGATAGAGTTAAGAATAAGCCTTGGTTGTTAAAGCTAATACATTCACAATTATTTTGAGTGTGTATGTGGACCACATTAAAACAAACAGTTTTTTGTTATTAAAAGAAATGAGTGGAGGATTGGAATTGCAATAAATGTGGACAACAAAGAAAAAAAAAAAAAGTTAAGAAATCACCTAATTACCAATTATATCATACCATAACATAGGTAGGTTGGTTCAACAATGTGTCATTACGTGTTGTGTAAGGATTCGCTTGGCTTTTTTCTTGTTTTTTATTCTGATGTAAATATGACAAAACCAATAATAAACTATTTCTATAAGTGCATAACATCGCTGATAATTATTTTTGACAAAGAACTAAATAATAATTAAATTAATTAATTTGTTTTCATTAATAGGTTAAAAATAACAAACTTTAGGTATGATGTGTGAATTGATGATATATAGGCAATTGGCTGAAAACTGAAAAACTGAGTATGATGCAATTGCCAAAGCATCATCCGTTTGGGGACCCTGTTTGGCCAATTCACGCAATTAAAATCTTGTGTTGGTTTTTCCTTGTTTGGGGAATCGCATAAAATTATCCTTGTTTCATCCACTTTGCTAATTATACATGAAAAACTAACCAGTAGCGACAAAATCGCCATTTGCCTCTCCAGAAAGCAACAAGATTGCTTGCTTCGTTCCTATTTCTCTGTGTTTGGATTGTTTTTGCCGTGAGGAAGCCAAGTTGGAAGAGTTTGCGCAAAAGGGTGTTTAGCCATTTGCAAAAACAAGGGAAGAGTGAAGAGGATGAAGGAAAGAATGCGACTTGGGAAATACGAGTTGGGTAGGACCCTTGGTGAAGGCAATTTTGGCAAAGTCAAGTTCGCTAAGAACACTGATTCTGGTCAACCTTTTGCTGTTAAGATCATTGACAAGAACAAAATCATCCATCTCAACATAACCAATCAGGTCTGTTCAACTAAACTAGCCCTTTAATGCCTTTTCCTCACTTCTCTCTCTTGCTTTTCACAAACTCTGTTTCAAAATCGTGATTTCTTCGTCAAGATTTCTCTGAACTGCAATTATCTGCTTTCTGGGTCCTCTTCCATGAAAAGGAAAAAACTTTGTTCTGATGAGAAAACTCAAATTCACTCACCAAGTATCTGTTGTCCTGTTTTTAGTCCTTTGAAATGTTCATTCAAATGCACTAGGCTGGGTTTTTTCTTAATTTCATGTTTTGGAGGCCTATACATGACTTTGAACAATGTGTGTAACTCTGGTGAAAAAATTGCAGATAAAGAGGGAGATAGCCACCTTAAAGCTCCTCAGACATCCCAACGTTGTTAGATTATACGAGGTACTGCCATGCTCTGTCTTATACGTCCTCTCTATATATACACACTTTTTTTATTTTTGTTAATTGAAAGTTAAATATCTTTTTTTTTTATGGATGGGACCTTTTAAAGGATAAATTATATATTATTTTTTTCTTTTTGACCTTTATATCAACCCTTTTATAAATGTGTAGTATATTTTAAAAATAATGAAGGAGAAATTACAAAAGGATTAAAAAAGAGTAATATGGAGAAAAATTTAAAGAAAAGACATAGAATAGAATGTCAGTGTAGTTAAATTATTTTTAATGAGTTATTAATATTGGATCTGGCATGCTAACCAACCAAATCGGGATCCGACAGATAACCCGAATCTGGCATTTTCGTTAGGTCAAACACGTCAAACTGTAGCATATATTATAACCAAAACTTGAAACGTGTTTAGTGTCACAATGGACAATGAACATTAGAACTGATGCAGATTTGTTTTCTTTCACGGTTTCTCCTTCTGTAATAGACCTTTCAACACCAATAGAATGCTCATTCTTAGTCAAGAGTTGCAACTGCGTTATCTTATAAAAGTAAAAAACATACATAAAATTCTGACTTGTAATTAAGTTCATTGATGTCAGTAGGTGACATGTCAGTACAATGTTTTAAAGGGAAAAAACAAAAAACAACTACAATAGCACATGCTTTTGTTTGGATAAAGAAGGAATCGTGACTGTGTATTCTCTTAATTTAAAATGAAAGTAAAAATAAAAATAAAATAAATAATGTATAATTTAAATTAGAAAACTAAAAATGTAAATAAATAAAATTACTAAGGTTATTATATGTTTTATGTCTCGACCATTTCCGTTTTCCAACGTGTCTATTTAGCTGGGTTCATGGAAATGGGTTTTGTTGACCTTGAACGTCAGAGCACCAACTTTTCCTCTGATTCTGATATCACATACATTGTTTAAATGACACGGACATGGTTACACTACAATAATACTTTTATTTCATTTGACTAAATTCATACTCGTCATTGAGTTTAAATAGATGATTTATTAGATGATGTATGATAATTATTGATATGTAATACATAATCAAGTATTGTTAACTTTTTTCAATAAATTAGAAAATTAAATACACATCGCATAAAAATCTATCATCAGAATTAGCATAGTCTGAGAAGGACAATGTCAAATTTTTGGTGAAATTATTTATGTTTATTATCTAAATGTCCATGTATTCTTGCGTGTATTGCACTTCTTAAGCATGTTACGCAATGAAGGGTGGTGAGTAAATGACGTGGCAGAATTGAAAATGTTCCCAATTAAAAAATGTATTGCATAAGAACCTGATTAAATAACGTCACGACCACATAGTTTATTAAAAATATGCATATAATGTACGAATACAATTGGTCTGGCACCCAGTTGACCGAAGTCTTGTTCCTATGTTTATTGCTGCTGTTTCTCTCATAAAAATATGTTATGGGTTGGCCCCTTTGCACATTAAAGTAATCTATCGAGTTTCATTTATTTATTTATCGGTAGAGTAATCTATTACTCTGCTACTTTCTTTGTAACATGCATTTGCATCATTGATGCTTCTAATTATGATTAATAATTAAGTATTATAATCACGCAGGTCTTGGCTAGCAAAACAAAAATTTATATGGTGCTTGAGTATGTGAATGGAGGGGAGTTATTTGAAACAATTGTAAGACTATGTCACTTTTTATTGGTCTTTATGATTCGAGTTAAATTTTTACAGCGTAAATACACACACTACTAATGGCATTCCATGAATTAACTGTATTCATAGGCATCCAAAGGTAAACGTACGGAAGGTGAAGGTAGAAAGCTGTTCCAGCAGTTGATTGATGGGGTGAGCTACTGTCACTCTAGAGGTGTCTTCCACAGGGATCTCAAGGTTCTTTTTCTCCCTTTTCACGTTGAAATTTCACCACATAGTTATCTTTGTCATGCATTTTACACACAATTGTGATGCTATCTATGTCTTTGCAGCTTGAGAATGTTCTAGTGGATAACAAAGGGAACCTAAAAATAACTGATTTTGGTCTTAGTGCTCTACCCCAGCATCTTAGGGTAAGATATACTATTCTTTCAACCACGTAGGGTAAAGCATATCATTTTTGTTAATGGCTTAGCCATGTGAAAATTTTCAGGCAGATGGATTGCTGCATACAACTTGTGGAAGTCCCAATTATGTTGCACCTGAGGTTGTTGCTAATAGAGGCTATGATGGTGCAACATCAGATGTATGGTCATGTGGTGTTTTATTATATGTAATCCTAGCAGGATACCTACCATTTGATGATAGAAATATGGTAGTTCTCTTTCAGAAGGTATAATCATATGTTGCTTCAATGTTCTCCTTTCACATAGTTAGCATATTTTGTAAATTAATTCACTTTTTTTTTTTCTGTGAGGGATAACAGATTATTAAAGGAGATGTTCAGATACCAAAATGGCTATCACCAGGTGCACAAAACATAATAAAGAGAATTCTTGATCCCAACCCTGAAACACGGATAACAATGGCTGGCATCAAAGAAGATCCGTGGTTCAAAAAGGGTTATGTTCCAGCAAATCCTGAGGATGAGGATGTATATGTTGACACTGAAGCCTTTTCCATCCATGAAGAGGTATTATATTATACTTGTGTTCTTTCACCTCCTCCCCTTTTTTGTTGGTCTGTTGTTATCTAAAACTATTCTCATGCTGACAGCCAAATGAAGCAGAACAGAGAAATTCAGGATCACCAACCCTTATCAATGCATTTCAGTTGATAGGGATGTCTTCGTGCCTCGACCTCTCTGGCTTCTTTGAGAAAGAGGTGAGCATGAAATTCAAGATCACCAACCCTTATCAATGCATTTCAATTTGTACTATTATAAATTTTATGCATAACTTTCTGTGTCTTTAAAAAGCCACCACCTCTTAACAAAATTTAACTCACTTTTATGCACAACGCTGTTTGAGTACAGGATGTCTCTGACAGAAAGATAAGATTTACATCAAATCTTTCAGTTAAAGATCTGAATGAGAGGATGGAGGACACTGTGACAGAAATGGAGTTTATAGTCCAGAGGAAAAATGGCAAAGTATGTTTGTTTGTTAAGGCTGCTTTCATTTCTGACAAACTTGCAAATAAACTGAATGCTTGTTTAGCTAAAAGTGATATATAACATTAACAATTTAATATTTCAGTTGAAAGTGATTCGGGAGAACAAAATGCACGAAACTATTGGATGCCTCTCAGTGACAATAGAGGTAATGCATGTTTAGAATGAGCTTACCTTTACATATTAATATCATGTTAATGCTAACAACTAACTTCATGTCAAACATCCCAGGTATTTGAAATAAGCCCATCATTGTATGTAGTAGAATTAAGGAAGTCTTGTGGAGATGCTTCTGCATATAAACAGGTATTTTGTTCATACTCTCTTCTAAAATCAGAAGCTGATGATGTGATTGATGACTAGATATATTTTTTCATCTGGTGCAGTTATGCAAGAAAATATTGAATGATTTGAGTGTTCCTCCCAAGCAAGCCCTACTGGACTCAGCAGCCAATTACATGCCAGACAATATGTAGTTTTTTCTTTATTTCTGGTCTTAAAGCTACAGTGGTGATACAAAAATCAATTGTAAAATGCATTATAGTTATAAAGAGCAAGAGAAATGTACAAATATTAGATAGGGATGGGAGTGATTTTAAGTTGAGCCCATCAAATGGCTGGCTGAATCAGGGAAGATGGCTTATCCATGCGTCTGGTGAACCTGAAAAGCATCTTGTCTTGCATCAGCGTCAGTTTTTTCCAGTGCCGTGTATAACATATTATGGGAATTTATCTCTGGAATGAACCATCTGATAAGAATAAAATAAAACTATGGATAATTGATAAGCTTGTTTAAATTATGAGAAATTCTTTTTTATTTGTGTTGACAAAAGGAAAAGGATGAAATAGAGAGTTGGTTTTTTCAAATTAATATTTACTTAGGATAGTTTTATAATATCTCGGGAAGTTAGACAAACTGTATTTCAAATTGATGCCCACTCATAAGTTAGACTGCGAAACAAAACAATTTTTCTATAGGTTAACATGTTCACAATGCGTGTATAGGAAACTCAGATGTCTAAATAATATTAGTATAAATAATTTCGAGACCTTCCAAATTTGTATCCTTGAAGCAAGTGCCATGAATCATGATGGTTTAAAGTGAACCATGTCACTGCATATGCAAACTGAGAGGAAAGGTACATAATAACTATGCATGTGGCTTGCCACTCAGGTGTGACATTCTTCCCTCCTCAAGTCTTCTGCAAATCCAGAAAAAAGTGACATGTCCTCTCTAGCTTAATGATCACAGAACAAATGGAGAAAAAATTAGTGTCTTGTTCTCTATTAATTTTTTCCAAATGGATATGCGTCTTTTCAATAGTTCCTAAAAATACCCGTTAACACCAACAAGAAGCATGAAAAACAGGAGGTTTCAACCTTGGTTGAAGCACCAACTAAGTCCCACATCGCTTAGTAGAGAAGTCAGTTTCTTAATATTTATTATAAAATGAACCTCCCATCCACTGATATCTTCATACCTTTCTCGGCCTTTTGGCTAAGATCAAGTGTAGTATCTGTTCTTATCAGTTTAATATCTGATATGTGAGTCAATGACTCACACGATATTAAATTTATTTTTTTAAGGGAAGATCTTACTACAGTAGCTTGCTATTGGAGGTCTTACGTGTCGCTCATGTCTTGCACTATCGCATGAGCCCGGCACACCCTCAAATTAAGTATAAACTTTTTAATCTTTGTTAAATATATATAAAGTCAAAGGCACCATAAATGGCGTTGTGTAATAACTATTTAATCCTTATAAACTTAAATAAATTTAATTAATCCTTATAAACTTAAATGAAATCTTGTGTGAACTTAAATTTATATACAGTCATATTCACTACAAATAGCACTTCTTAGAAAATTGACTGTAAATGATTTTTCCTAGAAAATAAAGATAATTCACTATTAATTTGGAGGATAATTGAAGACTATAATTGTGCTAATAATATATATATATATATAGTAAACTCAAATATTAAATTATATTTGTTCTTTGTTTGTCATCTAAGTTCTTATTATTTACTGGATTAGTCAAATATATGAAAGAATAAAAAGAAGTAATCAACAAATAAATATTTATTTGTATACAATGACTCATTATAATTTTTTTTTACATATTTCATATTATATTTTTGTCTTTTACTAATATTATAGAACTTGTCATTTTTACTAATATTATAGAACTTGCATTAGCCTTTCTTATTTTCTTGTTTTTGTCATCAAATGAGAATAAATTAGAATTTTAGATGAAAATTAGTTAAGAAATAGTTACTTGGCTCATCAAAACAGCTCTATGCCAGGTCATGCACACATCCCTGCTCCCGTGTGCACACTAGAAAAAACAGATTATGAGATTGCAATATTCTTTTGGTTATTAGATTAAATTTATAACATTCTATTTGAACTAATATTAAACATTCTTTTTATGTACTGACTGAACTCATAATTTTAGATGAGTCAAATTCTCAAACAAATTTAGGAGATTAGAAGAAATAACTCAAGAATAATAGACTGGAGCCTAAACTACAATGAATGATAACTAAGAGAGATTGTCTTACTTAGCTTGTGAAAATATCAATAACAGTAATTGGAACCATTTATGGTTACCAGGTTCAACAGATCATTAATCCTCGTTATAATATGTACTGTTGTTATTTATTGATATGAAATAGGATTCTAGATTATGCTCAATACTTATTCAGAAATTCATGGTTATGTTACCATTACTTATTCAGAAATTTTACTATGCGGATTAATTATAATTAATTTACATGAAAAATTCATCCACCTAATGATCATATACAAACTGAGCGTTTTCTTGGGTCATTAGTTTGAAATGCAGCAGCACTAGCTCGCAAGCCTGCTACCAAACTCCTTATTGTAAACCTGAATTAAACCACTCTCATCTCCTATTCGAAGTTTCTCATCCAACATTTTCTTGCATTGATCATCTCGAGCTTCTAGATTACGCACCAACTCAACCTACAAAAAGGTTACCAAAATGAGACAAGTGATTTAACAATATTTTTTCTTGATCTACGTCCTAGGCGGTTAACCAGCCTCATAATAAAAATGACAGCAGAGTTCAGGCCGAAATAATAGTTAGTGTGGATCGATTATGAAAAACCTTGAAGACAAGGCAGGCACCAATTTACACATATCCAATTGTTGACTTAACCATTAACATGTGAAAGTAAGCTTTAGTGATATGATACTCAGTTCATCAAAGAAAAATAAGTAAAGTATTCTGAAAAGCATGAAGATGCTCTTAACTAAGAACAAATTATTGTTGGTCATAGATATCGAATCACCTGTTCCTGGAACATATGGAATTCGTCACAGCTGAGGGAGCCATCACTGTTTGAGTCAAGGAGCTGCATCATTTCTCGTGCATCTTCTCCTGGAGCACCAAGCTCCTCCATAACTTCTGTAAGCTCTTCAATGCTAATTTTACCATCCCCATTCTTATCAAGAAGGCGAAAAACTCTATCCCTCTGATCAATCTCAATCCCTTTATGATTTGTGCCTGGAAAATCTTTTAGGCGCAGAGCAGCCAATTCAGCTGCAGTCAACATGATGGTCTTAAGACGCTTCGCCTGGCATCAACAACTAAAAAGTAAATGCTAATCCCCTTCCTTGTGTTCTCTCAAGAAGATAAAAGAATAAAAATAAGTTCAATGTGTCCATGTGTACTTCCTTTTTAGATATGTATAGAATCCATTGCTTTCAATTTTCTGGGTATAGTTCTATGATAGACATTAATATTTTCATTTCAGGAAAGAAGACACTAACCTCCTCAGGATCAGTAAGGCCAGCCTTGTATAAGGAATGGGCCGCTGTTCCACCAACTGCTAACCTGTCCATTTCAGCTGTTCTTATCTGGATTTCCATCAGCGGTCTGATCTTACCATTTTCACTCACATCAACTGCCATATGCAAACTTTTATACCCATTTGCTTTTGGCCTGGCAATATAGTCCTTTGTCCGATAAGGAATTTCCTTCCACATAGACTGGATGATCTGATGACACCTATAGCAAGCTCTCTCTCCCGCCTCTGATGCATTCTCTCCTGCTTTAGGATTCAATATCACTCGCATCCCAAGCACATCATTCACATCTTCTGGCTTCCTACCATCCTTCAACAACTTCTTCATTGTACTATATCGACTCTTATATCGACCTTTGACTGATACATCATCCACAAGTTCCGTGAGCAAGGGATCAGCCTTCAGAGTCTGGAGCAGTTCCTCCTTGTAGATGTCAATAAGAGATACACCGCCAGTTTCATGACTTCGCAACCATGCATCCACATAAAGATATGAATAAGGAAACAAGTACTGAAATGAGAGATCTTCCAATTCCAGTGACAAGTAGGTAGTACCCACAGCATAAGCAAGAGGGGCATGTATCTTCATAACCTGCAAAGAAATTATCTGCTGCTGATATCTGGGAAGATAATCAAGGTGTCTCATCATGTCAAGCTTTAAAGCCAGGTCCAGAATCAAAGCCCTGATGTCATAGTAAGTGAGGCAGAACTTTCTCATTGCAGCAGCATTGCCGTCATCCACAACATCTATTCTGGATGAAATATTGTTCACACGAAAACTCTCGTGAAGCAAATGAGCAGTGGCCAAACCCATCTGATTCCGAATTTCGTGTATGCTCAACTGACCGGCTTCCAACACCTCTCTTAATATCCCAGCAGAGATAACTTCAGCATCCATCTGCATTCACATTTACTGTAAACATGCGATAAACAGTAATGAAACTAGTAATAATATGTCCCAAACAAGACAATGAAAAAAGAAGGAGAGAGTTATAACAACAACTTCATCGTAATTGCTTAGTTTATTCTTAAAAATGAGCAATTTGAGAATACCATTTAAGCCAACAAATTCCTATACAGTTCATAAAAAGGTTGTTTATATAAACAATTAATATCAAGGTTGCTTAATCATTAAAGGTCAATTCTTGAAGTAAAATGAAAATTCTTGCGTGGGTGGAGAAATAAAATAAAACCTCAAGTTGGATTATGTAAAAAATAGTGAATATTCCTATATTTGTTGTGATAACAAGCGGCATGTTGAAAGAGGTGAAGAGCCCCAGATAAAGTTATATTAGAGATGCTCTGAATTAGAGAAATACTAATATGATTTAAAATTTACTAAATAAAAATAGTTCTATGTTATAACATTTTCAATATTTTTTTTTCTTTTATTTAGAAATATATTTTACACACTATCCTACATTTAGCAAAAAAAATTCAAACTATTTTGGTTTCTCTTGGTATGTACATGTGATCCATTAATTATCTCCCTCGAGCTGAATTTCAGTATTTTTTTTTAAATTGTTATATACTAAAAATATAACATGTTAAAGTGTTTACTTATTAAGATCTTTATCACATAAATAAAACTACTGTGGAAGCTAAAACACTATCAAGTAGTAAAATTTAGAACGAAAATAGAAAGAGTCTAAAGAGTGTGGTGAGTAAGGAGTGTTAACTAACTTGGAGATCGGCGAGGAGCATGGCGACGGACAAAGCCTTGGAGAGAGGGGAACGGCCATCGGGAGAGAGAGGGGAAGCTTGGAGGATGGGGATGGAGAGTTTGAGGCACTTGAACAGAAGACGAGAAGAACTCGTCGACAACACGTTCATTCTCTCTGTCAACTCATTGAACGCTCCCACCAGCTCCATCACCATCTTCCCTCCCTCCGATACCTCCACCGCAAACGCCCTCGGACCCCACCACCGCCTGCCGCCTCCGCCGCTCCCTCTACAACGCCGGAACACCACGGAGAGCAATTGAGAGGAAGGAAGGGAAACGATGCTTTTGGGAAGGGAATGACGAAGTGGAAAATCGAGAGCCACCAACTGCAACGCCTCCATTCAATTCACCTTCCTCTCTCTCACACACTCTCTCTTCTCCACCACGACGATGAGGACAACAAACAATATTTGTGGTTGGGTCGATGTTTCGTTCAAATTAATGTTTTATTTAAAATATTTGAGAAATATATTTAGATAAAATGAAGTAATTTATACTTTTTATATTTTTTAAAAAGTAAAGAGGTTCATAAAATATAAAATATTTTGATAATAGTAGTTTGAGTGTATTTAATATCTAGTCCATAAAATATTTGAGTTTTATAACTTCTGCTAACTATCAAATTTTAGTTAATATTATTTATATATTTAAATCATAACCTAATATATAGTATTTATTTATATCTTGATAAACATCATTTGAAAACAAAATTGCTTAGGATTATGCATTTACGATTACATGTTGCATTTATACTAAAACTAAAAAAAATATAAATAAATTTCTAATTTTTAATAATTTTATTTAAATTTTAAAATTAAACATTTTTAGTAGTCACTTTTTTTAAGTGAAATGATGATGATAATAGAAGTTTTACAAGAAATAAAAATTAAATTTTGAAGCTAAACAATTTACAAATTTCAAATATTAATATAACAAGTTAATTTTTTGAAGATAAACATATTTTAATAACTATGTTTTTAAAATAAAATAAAAATGATAAATATCATTTTATTAAAATATTAAATATAATAACTTAGTAGAAGTATAAGAGTTAAATAAAGCAAATATTTAAAAGGACGAAAGAAGAAAAGGATAAATAATAATATATAAAAGGATGGAAGAAGAAAAGGATAAGGTGTGTAGTGTTGTGAGCTGAAATGAGTAGTTGTTTGGTTGCTCCACCATGGCCATGTTCAAGCATGGCAGAAGTGAGGCAGCATCATTCCCTCCTCCTCCGTTTGGGACTCTCTACAGACAACTACGCCATGTCTCGCATTCTCACCTTCTGCTCCCTCTCCAACCATGGGGATATCAACTACGCCCTCAAACTCTTCACCACTCTTCCCAACCCCGACACCTTCGTCTACAACACTCTCTTCAAAGCTTTCTTTATTTGCGACAGCCCCTCCCTCTCCCTCCTCTTCTACTCCCACATGCTGCAACGTTCCCTCACACCCAACTCTTTCACCTTCCCTTCTCTCGTAAGGGCCTGCAAACTCCAACAAGAAGTTAAACAGCTCCATGCACACGTTCTTAAATTCGGGTTTGGAGCAGATACCTTCACTCTCAACAACTTGATCCACGCATATTTCGCTTTTGGTTCCTTGGATGATGCTAGGAGGGTGTTTTACACCATTCCTAATCCAAATGTCGTGTCTTGGACTAGCCTTGTTTCTGGGTATTCTCAGTTGGGACTCGTGGACGAGGCTTTTCATGTTTTTGAACTCATGCCTTCCAAGAATGGTGTTTCTTGGAACGCCATGATTGCGTGTTTTGTCAAGAACAACCGGTTTCGTGAGGCGTTTGATTTGTTTCGGAAGATGAGGGTGGAGGAGGTGGAGGTGGATAGATTTGTGGCTGCTACTATGCTCTCTGCGTGCACGGGTGTGGGGGCCTTAGAGCAAGGGAAGTGGATACATGGATGTGTTGAGAGGAATGGGATTGTTTTGGATTCTAAGCTTGGCACAGCCATTGTTGACATGTATTGCAAGTGTGGATGTTTGGACAAGGCGTTTCGAGTGTTTTGTAGGTTGGAAGTAAAAGGGGCTTCTTCTTGGAATTGCATGATTGGGGGGTTTGCAATGCATGGCAGAGGAGAGGATGCTATTAGGCTTTTTAGGGAGATGGAGGAAGAAGGAGTGGTTGTGCCAGATGACATCACTTTTGTGAATGTTCTCACTGCTTGTGCTCATTCAGGATTGGTTGAGGAAGGATTTTTTTACTTTCGTTACATGGTTGATGTTCATGGCATTGAACCCAACAAGGAGCATTATGGTTGCATGGTTGATTTGCTTGCCAGAGCTGGAAGGTTAGAGGAAGCAAAAAAAGTAATTTATGAGATGCCTATGAGTCCTGATGCTGCTGTGTTGGGTGCCCTTCTTGGAGCATGTAGAATTCATGGGAATTTGGTGTTGGGGGAGGAGGTAGGCAAGAGAGTGATTGAACTAGATCCTGGAAATAGTGGCCGTTACGTGACGCTAGGTAATATCTATGCTAGATGTGGAAAATGGGAACAAGTTGCTGGTGTGAGGAAATTGATGAATGATAGGGGAGTGAAGAAGGAACCTGGATTTTCCATGATCGAAATGGAAGGAATGGTGAATGAATTTGTTGCAGGGGGAAGGGATCATCCACTGGCTGAGGCTATATATGCTAAGGTTCATGAGATGTTGGAAGCAATTAGGGTTGTTGGTTATGTTCCTGATACAGATGATGTGTTGCATGATCTTGTTGAGGAAGAAAAAGAGAATCCTCTGTTCTACCATAGTGAAAAACTTGCAATTGCTTATGGTTTGTTAAAGACTAAACGAGGGGAGACCCTACGTGTCACCAAGAATCTGAGGGTTTGTAAAGATTGTCACCAAGCAAGTAAACTGATCTCCAAGGTTTATGACTGTGATATAATAATAAGAGATAGAAACCGTTTCCACCATTTTAGTAATGGAGAGTGTTCATGTAAAGACTATTGGTAACTACAATTATGATCATTACCAATTTTTTTTTTCTTAAAATGTATAAATACCGTACATCTCCTGTGGATCCAAAAGCAAGCAGCATGCTTAACATATATCTATGCATCTAATCATTATATAAACTGCAAATATTTGTGCTTCTACCAAATAAAACTGTCATACTGGATCATATCTCTGCAGTAGCAACCAGTTTCCTTGGTTGGTTCTTGTCTCTTTAAATTTTTACTATAGAGGCCTCAATGAGGATAAAGAGTTCTCCTGAGCAGTAATCTCACCAATAATTGAAGAATGCTCCTAGTATTTCTCTAATCAGATGTTTGAGGTTCAGTTTGAATTAATTATAGTGGTCTCTGAAATTTGCAAGTGTTTAAATAACTCACGATGGTCCAAGGAGCATGCCAAAATTTGTCCATGTATCTGATCATTAGTTTCCTCAGTTGTGTAAATATATGTATTTCAAATGGCGAAACCTATGATGTTGGATCCTATCCTTGCTTCATAATTAGGAAACTAACAAGTTCTCTGTTTGATTTTTGTTCCTGTTAATTGCCTAATTTTTACCTTGCAATCAGCATTATTCCATTATTCCACTAGTAGATGGATAGTTCCAACCTTAGCCCAGGAACTAAAGTCAACTTCTCTCTGCAAGGGATGGTAGCCTTTTATGACCCTCATCATTTGATTATGCACGGTGTTCTACCATCTAAAAATTTAACTGAAGATAATGAGTCCCACATTTTTAAGAAGACAGATGAATCACTGGGTAGTTTGTTATAAAATAGCCTCTGTATTCTTCAAGAGTTCTTCTTGTTTGTCTTACTTGTTCTTATCAAATTTACAGTGGAAATCTTAAACTACAGTACCATCTACTAAGTAAAAATGCTATTATTTTTAATTTTTAATTTTATTATTTTTCGTACTTAAGAAATATGTTTTAAAAATAATGTTGTATTTTTATTATTAAATTTCTAGACTAAGAAATATGTATATTGTCTTGTTTTGTAAAAGGGTTACTTTTTATATATATTTTTTTTAAAACTAACTGTAAACATAACTTTTTGAATGAAAATAATAGAAAAAAGTGTTAAATTTTAAATTTATTATATAGAATTAATAATGTAAAAATTTTGCTCAAGAGGCATAAAATTTATTATTTCACTTTGAAAAACTTAAAATTAAAAGTATACAATTATTCTTGTTTAAAAACAAATTTTGGTGGATAAATGAGGAAGATCAATTTATCTAATATGGTTGGCTATCCAATATCTACAACTGCGGGAATTCTGCAATTTTTTTATCTTTTGATTTAATTTTCATTATTATTTTGTTAAATTTTGATATGCACGATAGAATATAAAAAGAATAACAATATTAAAGATAAATTCAACCTACAAATTTCAAGAAATAATCAACTAGAAATCTCAAGAAATAACCTGTAGTTAAAGGAGAAGAACTCAGATTTTAGAATTGGAATCTCAAATTGTTTTTTCAAATAAAAACACCTAAATAAATTCCATTAATTTCTCTGTTTTGAAATTACTATCAAATTACATGAAAACTTTAAAAATTACATTTCTAGATACATTTATCAGATAGTGTTTAGCATCACCTTGAAACCTTGAAACAATGTAGAAGTATGTTGAAATCAGACTATTATATCTAACAATAGTCATCAACTACTACACAAACATAATCAGAATATTCATGACATATGTGTAAGAAAGTCTCCCAAATTGTCAGAGCTGAAATCAATGGTCAGAAGTAATTCTTACTGTCAGAATGACTATAGCTTTGGTGTTTAATCTTTGTACAATTTACATTTTTTTTTTAGTTTCAGGGCAAAGGTTCTTGTGAGTCTCCCAAACGACACAAATGGAGATATGCATCCGTCCCTGCAAATAATAATCCTATGAATGCATCAAAACTTCAGAATTCTTGGAATATAAAACCATTAAACAAAATAAAAATAATTAAATGCAGATGCAAGGTATAAGATTTCAAAAAGAATACTAAAATTCTTGTAATATTTTCTTCTTAATATAATAATCTCCATTATTAAATAAAAAAGTATTACCTATTTTATATTTTCAAACAAATTTTCTTATTTAATGGTTTTTATAGTATTTTGTGCATGTTACAAAAGATATATAACCTTAGTGGTAGCTGTAACAGTTCATATGCCAAACAAAGAAGAAACACATGAAGTTGTCATACTTTTAAGGGTTACAGTTGAATGTTGGAACTTAGAAAGAAGACTATAGGAAGAATATAATAAGTAATAGTTCATTTACCATATCCTTCCATAGATATTACTTGAAGATCACCACCAAAATACCTAGCATACAGACGGCAAATAGGGAGTCCATATCCATTTCCAGCCATGGTTGCATTACCAGCTATTCCAAGATCAGAAGGGTCAGGTTGATTCAATGAATTTCTGGCTGTACTGTAGAGATATGTAAAAATTTTTGGTAGACCACTTCTTGCTATTCCACCTCCCTCATCTGAGACCTAACATGTCATTCGTATAAACAAAAAACATCTTCATTATAGCATAAGTAAAAAAGTCCCCAATAGAAGAACAAAAAGTATGTTGATGACAGAAACTTACCTTTATGGTAACATCCTCTATTCCATCAGCTATTATTATTCTAATGGGAGGAGCAACTTCATCAGAGTCCATAAAACGCTCTTGTACAGCACGCAGTGAGTTCTTAACCAACTCAAATACCATAAGATGCAAGTGAGCTTGAACATACCTTTAGCAAAAACACAGACTTCAAGAAAAAGAAAAGGATAATAGAATCTTCCAAGCACTAGATCATAAGAAGGGTTGTAGGCAAAAATGAATTCAAACAAGTAAAAAAAGACTGTTACTGACGGAAAAGTAAACTCAGGATCTCCATAAATGTTAACATCTGGGGCACTGCCATATTCGCGATAGCACATGGCACGTGCATCTTCACTAGCATTCCTTGCTACATTCATAGGAGACAGTTTTGTGTGTATATAACCAACACAATTTGGAGGAGGGTTGGGGTTGTGCAGCTCAACATGCTGCCCTGAATCCATTCAAACAAAAAATACACATAGTATCTTGGAATTTGAAACTCTGCTATAAAGATTTAAATAAGCAAATTTTGGAGCAGATACATTGATTAGTCTCACAGAAGGTTAGGGAGTGTGTTATTGGAACTAACCAATGAGCATTCGGATTCCTATTCTTGACATGTAGAAGCGATCAAGAAACTCGTCAATCTCATCATAATTCTCAGAAGCAATCTTCAATTGCTGAACACCTAAGGCCATTGTAGGAACCACATTGTTGTGTCTCACCTTGATAGCCTTAATCATTTCAGTGAATTCTTTTTCTTCATTCATATCCTTGATCTCAGGGAAAGATTGAAGGTCACGGAAAGAATCCAAGTACCATTCTCTAACCTTTAAAACATAAAACAGCAGTAGCCCAAAGTTCAATAATCAAGTACCAATCTGAAGTACATACGCACAAATTCTTGATAATAACTCTAAAAAGTTTGCCAAGTTCTTAAAAAGCCCACAAAAATCAATAGCACAGTAGAATAACTACTAAACATTAGAAATATCCAAATTTTGTTCCCCTAAATTCAACTGATGACATCCAAAATTCTCAAGAGCAAAACCAATAATTTTGCTGCAAATCAATAAAAGTGGTGGGGGTAAAAGGTAGTGCCTTCAAAACAGGAGGGGTGTGAGACAAGCCACGAGGGAGAGTTTGAAGCTCAAGGGCTCTCCTTGCAATCCTGATGGGAAGCTCTTTGTGAAGGAACTGAGCAGAGAGGAGCAAATTCTTTTGAGTGGGGTTGGAACCAAACTCCATCATGTACCTCAGACTCACCCCTGTCTGCTTCAAACCACCCCATTTCTTCACCTCCTTCATCAAACTTTTGCACCATGACAAATTTTGCTTAGCCTTATCCGCCATGTCTTATTTCTGGACCCAACAACAACATGTACAAAACAAAACCGAGAGCTAGGAACTGACATAGATGAAAACAATACCAGAAACAAGAGTATCCCCAGAAGTGTGGAGAGAGAAGTTGAGAACTGGGGTTTCCGCAGAGAGAGAAAAGGACAAAACAGGTCTGAAAAAACAAGGTTGAATGATCCATTGACGTCAAAGGATTCAATTTCGTGTGACATTTTGCCGTGTTATGCGTTCTTCGGATCAATTGCAAAGCATTCACAGGTTCTCCTGTCGACACGTGGATACACTCTATAAACTGCATTCTTCTCTAAAAACACGCATTTATAGATATGATTAAACAAAAGTTAGTTTTATTTATATCTTTTAAAATAAAATCTATTGTGAAATTTAATATAGCATGATAATGATCCACAACTAAATTAAAATAATTTTAAATTATTTTCGATTTTTCAAATATGAAACATGGATTCCAGATTCTAAACTTGGACCTAAATACCAACAAAAGTTATTTATACTCAAATTTAAAATAAAGAAAGATATTATTAGCACAAAAGTTGTGAGCCTTATTTGTAAGTATAGAATTGGAATCTCCTCTTTTCTTTTTTCTTTATTCTTTTTTCTTGTGTAGGTAAAACGAACTCTATAAGAAACTATTTTAAAATAGATGTAGCTTTCGAAGCAGCTTTGACCTTTATTTGGTTAGAATAAAATGGAAGAAAGTGACACAAGAGAAAAAAAAATTACACAAAAAGAAGTATATACTAAACTGAAAGTAAAAACTGTTGAGCAATAATTGTAATGTTTTCATATTCACAAAACCAACTTAAAAAAAAACTTTTTACAGATTTCAATTATTGAAATACATAATCAAAATTCCAAAAAAAATTTATTTAATAAAAACGAAAATCTTTTTAATTAATATTTTTCAAAATGTTCAAATGGGTCTAGAGGTCTCAATTATTCAAAGGTAATCAAAGTTAAAAATAAAATATAAGCATCAATGTGTTCGGATAAATTTTTTATTTAGAAAATTTAAAAATATTTTGTATTAAAAAGTGTCGATTAATAATATTTTAAAAGCGTTATCTTCAAAGTTTTTTTTTTAATACATATAGAATCCATAAAAGATAAAAGATTGAATTTTTTATAACATGAGATTCTACACTTACTTTGTAACTCATGAGAGAAATAAAAACACGTTAATAATGACAGTAAAAAAATGTTATCATGTTAAAAATATTTACTTTAAATATGTGAGTTTTATGATAGTTTATGAAATTACGATCAGCATGGGTTTCTATTAATATTTTCATAATTGATTTTAATTTAACATTCAAAGCTAAAAAATGTTTAGTTTCTTCTACTTTCTCAAAATGTAGATGTGATTTTAAATGTCAGAATCAATTTAGAACAAATAGAAAATTACAATACATTTAAAAGTGAGAGATAAAGTGTGTGAAATAAAATTTACTTTTTATTTAAAACAAGTATAGGGCTGAAATGTTTGACAAAAAAAAAAAAAAAATAGTGGATGGGTAATGATAATGTTTGAAAATTTAGTTAAAAGTGAAGTGAAAGGTGAGGCAAAATGGGAGAGACAAGACAAAGATTAAGGTTAGTTGTGAGACCCACACACAGCGCATTCCACTTCACAATTCAGAACAACCTATTTATACATTTCTTCTCAATGACACACCAACCTCAACTACAACTATTTCTAATTTGCCACCACTTAGGTTTTGTTTGAACTGAAGCATGAAAAATAGAAAATAGAAAAAATAATATAAATTTTTATGGTAAAAGAAATAAAAAATTTTAAAAAATTTGTTTTACATATTGATGGCCAAATCTAAATAAATGTACATGCTAAGATTAGTTTACATTTTATATTATAAAATCACTAGAATTACACATTTAATATGTGATCAGGTTTGATTTTTTTTCTTTTTCAAAAGATTTAAGCGAAACTAAATTAGTATTTTATGATTTTATTTACCCAATTATGAATTATGAATTATAAAATTATTAATATATTATGATAAAATAATTATTTAATTAAAAATATATTATAAAAATATCACATATTAAATCTCTTTTATAATCATGTTTGATCTCTTCAAAGTCGTTTTAACGATAATTTATTTTAATGGGATCTTGTTTATGTTTTTTAAAAGATATAATTATTAGTTTTTAATTTTTACCATTTTGTTTTCTAATTTGTATACTTCCTTCGTGCAGTGTAGCTTGACACGTGATTATAAAAGCAAAAATTTAATAAATATTCATTTCTTATTTTTAAGACTTAGTTAATAAAATATTAAAAATAATCTTAAAAATTAATATAATTAATATAATTAATTTTCATAAATTAAACTATACTTAAACCAATTAATATAATATAAATATTCTATTAAAATTTTTTGAAATATGATTTTTTTTAACTAAAACGCTGTTCTTTTGTTCGAAAAGTTAGTTTTTATTAAAAGAAGAAAGAAATAGAGTGTTGACAAAACTCTCCCGCGCTGTGCCAAGCTGTCATCCATTCTATTTTAATTTAAAAGTTTATAATTTCTTAACTTTCATCGAAATCAAAGAAATAACAGAATGGATTAATTCACATTAAATAACTAATTAATAAATAACAATTAAACAAAATAATGATAATAAATAATAAAATATTATCTGACAACGGTTCCCTTTCCTAATTCCATTGTTTGTTCCAGCACAGGTCGAACTTCCTCGGTTGTGTGTTGTGTTGTGTTCTGTTTCGTGTGTTGTTCTGTCTGTGCTCTCTCTCTTTTCTTTCACTTTCTCTCCGTTCAATTTTCAATTTCATTTCAATCCAAACCTTCTCATTCACCTTCTGCATTCTCTGCTCCTTACTCTACAATTATTATGCATCAACGTCCTAATCGTCTTCCCTCACCAACTACCTAGGGTTTCTATCCAACGTTAGGTTTTTCGTTCTTTTGCCGGGATTTTGGGGGCTGACCTAATCTCCGGCAGCTATGGCTTCCAACTTGCAGATGAGTCCTCAGGTGGAGCAGATCCACGGTGAAATTCGCGACAACTTTCGTGCGCTCGCGTATGCACTCTCTTAATTCTATTTTATTATCATTGTGTGATTCATCGCACTCCTTGTGATCCAGGAATTAATTTGATTGATGATAATACTGGTAGTAGTAGTAGTTGTAGTTGTAGATATTGTGATTTGCGATTTTGTGATGGTTGACATTGGGGGATTGATTACCCTCTGAAATGTAATTTCCTATGATTTCAGAGTTGGGGTTGTTTGGCCTCTAGGTTTGGTGATACTTGAACTTTTCTCTTCAAGGGATGCGTTTTTATTATTTATGCATAAGAGAAGAGTTTTCATCTAGACTTTAACGGATAGTGAGACTTTAGGGGGGAGTTGCTTGCTTTTATTTACCACTACACATGTTTTCTATGGTCACAGTGATTATTTTGCATCTCTTGAAACTCTCAATATTACTGTTTAGTTGAACCAGTTGGTGGTGGTTACGTTATCCTTCCTTTGATTATCTTTTAACAAGTGATTTGTGGCTTAGTTTAGTTGTACTTTTCTTCTGCTTTAGTCTTGTAAAAATGTATCTTAGCTGGTGCTACGATCATATTTATCAGATGTCAGTAAATGGAGAAGGAAACGAAGGAACCAGGGATTAATAGTTTTTGGTAAATAGATCCCGTAGTTTAAGCAGTTGGGGACTGTTATAATGTGGATGATCTGTAATATGTTGCGTATTTTATTTATTGTTGACAAGCTTCACCGTTTGCGTCCAGAAATGGCTTTCAGAAGTTGGATAAGATTAAAGATGCCAATAGACAAAGTAATCAGCTTGAAGAACTCACGAACAAGATGAGGGAGGCCAAAAGGTTAGTAATGCATTTTTTTTTAATTTTAATCTTGTTATCACTCACTGGAAACTATATCTCTCTGAGCAAGATAAAAAAGCTGTGAATGAGAAGGGAAATGCACTCTATTCAAAATATCACCTCTTCTTTTCCTCATAGGTTGGCATGGTTGAAATTTTGCTTATTACTATTAAATGTAACAGCAAAAGCTCTGTAATGGAATTTACATCTTATACGAACTTTCCAGGATTTGATTGATGTTAGCATCGAAAACAAACCTGTTCTATATTGAATATTTTATGTAAAAGAAATGAATGGTTATTTTGTTGTTTACCATGCTGTCTATGTGCTCTCCAGACGTCTTATTTGTCGGGTAGAATTAATTTGCTCATTTTTAATACACTATTGCTGAAAGAAGTGAAATTCCCTGTGGTTAATGGTTTCAGGTTGATAAAGGAGTTTGATCGTGAAATTAAAGATGAAGAGGGAAGAAATCCCACAGATGTGAATAAGCAACTCAATGATGAAAAACAATCAATGGTCAGTACCCAGAACACTTCTTTTTCATTTTCCTTTGCTCATGTTGAAAATATTGTATCTAACTCTTCGAAGTTTGAATTGATGTTCTGGCTTATTCTGTATATGACTGTAACAACTTTATAAGTATTTTTCAAGAAATTCCAATTACTTTCTGAGTATTGTCAAGACATATAAAGTGAATTCCAGAAGGTCGGAAAATAGCTTGTGTCTGAGGATTGTACACATTTGTTATACATTGCATGTCCATGTAAAGGAACTGCCAACTCTTTATGTTTGCTAATGTGCGTTCATCTTGCAGATCAAAGAGCTAAACTCATATGTGGCATTGCGAAAAACGTAAGTTCATCTTTAAGATACACAAATTGATAATTTTTGAAGTTATGGAACAAATCAGGTTGTCAATACCGATTTTCTTTATGGGCATATTCAATTTTCTAAATCACGAATTCGATAAATTTTATTGCAAACGTTAGCAGAACCATAATAAATAAAGATTTTTTAGCTTTGAAAGGACTTATACTATCACTTGAATGATTAACAGGTACATGAATACCATTGGAAATAAAAAACTTGAACTTTTTGACAATGGAGCTGGAGCAAGTGAACCTACAGCTGAAGATAACGTTCAACTGGCATCAGGTAAGATATTCAATGGAATTAGTAGTTGGTGCAATGAGGTCTTGTCAGAACTATTTGAAATTGACTTCACAGTATGTTTGTGCTTCCGTTCTAATAAGTTTCCATATAGAATTTGCGCATTGCGTTTGAGTACTAATTTTTGCAGTGGCATACTTCATGCTTTTATCTTTGTTGGTGTCTCTTTCTTGGGGTTGGTTGTGCATTTATGTGATAAACAACTTATCATGTAATAAGCAACCTAATTAAGGGTTTATTGAATAAGTACCTAATATGTAAGCATTTATGAATAGTCATATTTATCTTAGAAATAATGTTTTTGTTCTTCTATTATAGAAATGTCAAATCAAGAACTCATCAATGCTGGGACAAAGACTATGGATGAAACTGACCAGGCTATTGAGAGATCCAAGCAGGTGAGTCACTTCATACTTGCCCCAGCTCTCCGTTGCTGCTGGATTTCTGTTCTTACTCCCTTCTAAAATGTAGGTTGTACATCAAACAATTGAGGTTGGCACCCAAACTGCTGCTACGTTGAAAGGCCAAGTAAGTCTGATTTGCATTGAGTATGCCATATGAAGGGAAGAGTAAGTGATAACAAATTTGACCTCGATTTCTGTTTATAAATTTTGCAGACAGAACAAATGGGCCGTATTGTTAATGAGCTTGATTCAATTCAGTTCTCAATTAAGAAGGCCTCCCAACTTGTTAAGGAGATTGGTAGACAGGTTAGCTTCATTTTTATTGCTTCTATGCACTTCAAGCCTGTGTCATGGAACTAATCTGTATTTACCTATTTTCAGGTAGCTACAGATAAGTGCATCATGCTGTTTCTGTTCCTTATCGTCTGTGGTGTAATTGCCATTATTGTTGTGAAGGTATCATTTGCATGTCATCCATTACGTTAATGAATTTGTAGTGGATATTTTTTCCTATCAAATTATGCTAAAGTTTTTAAAGAACTAAGATGCTCCGAGAATTTATTTGAAAGAAGCATCTTACAGGAAATATTTGAAAAAACTTAATTTGGAATATCATGATACAAGACTAAGTGGAGAGAACTTATATTGCGTAATGACCCGCACTAGTGATTGTCTGTTAAAGAAATGCTCATGTTCAATACGCTACCTACAGATTTCCGCTGTGTGCATTAATAAATGTTTTATATTTATGCACAATACCTACACTATGCTTCTGTTTTAACTGTTTATCTTCTGTAGATTGTGCATCCCAACAACAAAGATATTAGAGATATCCCAGGATTGGCACCTCCAGTTCCGACAAGAAGGCTTTTGTACGCAAGGACTACAGATAATTTCGATTAATTCTTACGTTTGAACAAGAGTGAACTGCAACCTAGTCCTACCAACTTGATTCTTGTTCTCATTAATGGGAAAATTAGAGGATTGCTGTCTGGAGGCATTATTTTGGTCTATTCAATTAATGAAATATATATACACTTGCATACCCTTGTTTGTGATTTTATGTAAATCACACGAGAGCCTTCTGCTTTTCTTTCGAGTGCCATGTTTCGTTATGTAACATTCCCTAAGTGTAGGACCAGAGAAAGTAAATTCTGTGAAATTCGTTCTGTATATGTCTAATTCGCTCCCCCCCTCTTCTTTATTTCTTTACTGTACAACGCATTCCAAACTGCTGCTGGATTGGTTTTGTAAATTACATTCAGAGTTGAGCTTGCTTTGTTCATATCAAGTTTCTTTAGCTTGGCCTTCAGTTCTAAATATTTGTTTAATTTTACCAACGTTAGATAAAAAAAAATATTTATCATTTTATCAAAGAGTATTTTAAAGAACATCATTTCTTTCTGTTGTATATTATCCGTTCCTTAACCCGTCCTTCAATGAACAAGAACGTGCTTCCAATCACTTTTCTAAAGTTCTTATTCGTTGATTTCTTGTTCGAGCCATCCTTTACCGCAAAAATAATCATGCCAGCATGTTTGCATTTGTTCAACAGAAAAGGACCGATGAAAGAGGTTAAATTATAATTTTCTTTTTGTCGTTTCGAACTCTATTCAGAGGAAGGATTGGAAACGTATTCTGGAGCTCATAAAAATCTGTCCTTCCCAAATTCGGACGGATATTTAAGTTTCAGGTAAAAGCTAATCTCTTTGCATGTTCTGATGAGCTCTATGTTTAAAATCAGTTGCTGATTTCACTTTTAAAATATCATAGAAGAAATATATACTTGCCATACGTAATGATAACCTTTCTTTTATATCTTAAGTGAAAATATATAAGCGAAAAATATAATTTTTTAAATAAAAAGTATGTCCTTTTGTTAACAAAAATTTTTAGTTCTTCTACTCTATTTCTTATTGCAAAACAGTTTTGTTACTCCGTGTATACATTTCTCCTATCATACAACAAATTATCTCACTTCTCTCCCTTTTTTTTTCCCTGAGACCTCAGGGTATAACAAATAGTTTTGTTCACCAATCCAAACAACCTTAACCTTAGTATCTGAAAATTTCTTTGAACCTTAACTTTGGTTATAAGATGTTAGCTAAATCCGCTTATGTGAAGCTATTCAAATTTAAATTGATATAGGACTTACGAGGAGATTAGGTCCTCCACTCTGATCTTAAACCATGGATCAACACATGAATGTGATTACAAAGTGCAGGAACGAATGATTCCATTATAAAGCATACTATTCGAGAAGGAATAAAGAGTGGTGCTTTTGACCAACTTCCACTTTCTTGTTTTATCTCCAAAAGGGGAAGATGTATGATGAATATTTATTGGAGGTTTCATTTTCCAGTTGCATGATTGGCTAGCTGCATGCGTCCAATATGAGACACCCTTGATGAAGAAATTAGCGGTGCTTCTTCATCAATGTTCATATCAGAAAGAGAACCATTGCCTCCACCACTTCCCCCATCGTTACTAACATTATCTGGCACATAAAAGTCAAATGACCTCTTCTCGAATTTCCAGTCCTGTATGTCCATGGAATTTGATCAGACAAGATAAATAAACAAGAAATTAAACGTGCTAAAATATGTGAGAACATTTCATGATCTTTATCTGTTACTTCATTCTAACTCTTGCTACCATGTATAACAAGTTTACATTGACTCAACAAAAATCAAGATACCTTTGTCATTCGATCGGGAATAATTTCAGCAGGTGATTGAGAGGCTCGGACATCCCTAACCTTAATATAATTGTACATCACAACTCCACATAGTGCTGCAGGTAAAATATGAGAGGATGAAGAGGGAGGGAGATTAAAAAAATGATCTTTTCAAACAAAACTTACCAATAGCATAACCAATTATATTCAGCCATGTTATTGCTGACTCTGGAAATATAACGGTAGAAAGGGCTATCAATATCCAGTCTTTAAGCACTCCAGCAACCCTGATGGTTACGGCACCGGTTCTACCAATTACTAAGAAAATGGAAAAATTCAAGGCTAGAGCACACAGAGCATTGGAAAAGAAGATCCAAAAGTTGAACTGAATCTGTGAAACTTCCATCACGGGCTGTTCCAGCAGGTACCAAGGCACGAAGAGAAACACAAAACTGCATTTAACAAAGTACAGATGAATGAGCAGATCACATAAGGTAAGTTGGTTTTGTACAAATGCAAGCATTGATACTACCAATAACAGAGTATATATTACCTGATAATCGAGGCAATGAAATTGATATGAGAAAAATCATATACTTAAAAGAAACTAAAAATACAAGAATGACTGCTGCATATTACATTTAATCATGTCCATGTTGAGCAGGTACATTGCCTCAAATCCAAAGAAAGAAAAGTATATCATCATAGATAGAAACATGCTTCGTATGGCTAATAGGAACAAAAAAATTTGTCCAGGTGGGTTGCCATGATTTCTGCACAGACTCAATTAACTATTTATTTGTAGAGAAGACTACAAAAATACCTGCATGGAGCTATGTAATATAAGCTTGTGATAGGATTTAAACTCAAGCCCTTCTTCTGTAAAAGGACTTGTGTTAAGACCAGTCTTAAAGCTTCAGCAAAGATGCCGGTGACCTGGTAAACTGTACCAACTACATTAAAATGAATTTCTCCGTAGGAGGAAATGACAACTCCAACACTGACCAGCAGCATGTTGAAGAACACATCACACCTTGCTTTGTCAGTGCCACAAATGACAGCCACGAGGAATGTTGCCACAGGCACTGGAAAATCATGTTTCAGAATTACGAAATATCATTCCAAAAGTAAGCAAAGCATGTGATGTTTGTTAAAAACATACTTAGAGCTTTGAGCATCTGGATGAAGGCCACAGAAATATGCAAATAAGCTGTGTTACCAAACCTGTAAAGACACATATTCTTCATAAAAACATGATTGTTTCTTCAGAAGTACCGATATTGCACAAGGTGTAAGCATGTGAATAGAACAATACAAAACGTCCACCAATGTGAAGTCCCATCCTAATGCAGACTAATATTTGAATATCCTTAATCGGGGTTTCATTAGAACATATTTTTGAAAACCACATCCTGCTGACCAGAAACTGGTTAGGTCCCCAGTCTAGACAATTCAGACATGTGGTTCTGAAAAGAAGGGTAAAAAGTAGGCGAAAAACAGTCAAAGCTAATTAAGAATTGAACCAGATATTTCATAAATATGAATGCTACTCCCGTTATAAAATCTGAGGATAAGTTTTACCCTAACTCAGCAACTTCAGTTTGCCCATTTTGTAGTGCTTACCAAAGACTTGAAGCAAAGAAGGCACTTATTGGTATCACGCAAGTTGCATATCTGCAATGCAATAAAGAAAGTGTTTAAGAAATAAGTTGGTCAAAAGAGAAAACGCTAAAAAAGGCTTCAACTCAAAAACACACTCACATTTCAAATGTCATTTTGACAGGAGATACGACCTGCAATTAGAGAAGAGGAATATAATAACTTAATAATCAAATAACCAGACAAAGAAAGTGATCAAAACAAGGGTGAAAGAAGAGCTCTAAAAGTTCAAGTAAGACAGAGTGGTGCAAATGGCACAAAGAATCCTAGTGAAAGTGAAACATTAACATCAACATTTACACAAGCAAGTACGCATATAAAAGAGGTTCTAGAAATCACATCGTTGAGTAAAGATTCACTCAACAAGAGAAAACTATAATTAATGGTAACACTCTAACAAACTGAAAATGATAACGGTGCCCCTAGATGCAATGAAGATCAAAGCCTATACACTCGACTAAAGAGCACAGTAAAATACACGGTACACTTTTTGGTCAAAAATAAAGCCAACACTGAATACTAAAGGCACTCAAATTGACCCTAAACCAGCAAAAGAAGCATATTCTGAAAGTACAACACGGCACCAAAACAAAAACGGCATAACATACCTTAAAGACCCGGACAAGAAAAAATGCCACTGCCCCAGAAAAGCCCATGTGAATCATGGTGAGTGTTATAGGAAGCGGAAAGTTAAAGTACTTTGGAGACAGAACCCACTGCAAAATTCATTAAAAAGAAAAAAACATGATACTACACTGGAGATGCTGTAACTAATAGTAAAAATTAGTTTAAAGTTGCTACGTATATGTATTCATATACCTTGTTGTACAAAATGACTCCAGAAGAAAGTAAAATGTAGGCAAACAAGTATAAATAAGTGAAGAAAAGTGTTTTGTTAATCATTTTGGTCCCCAAGAAAGAAGAAGTTTCTGAAGCAGAGAAAGTTCGGTTATACGAGAATCCAAAATTGGGAAGAGGTGAACGCGGTTGTTCAAGACCCATGCACTAAAGTGGAGCAAAGCTCGTATCTTTAGAGTTGCAGCATCGGTTCAAACGCTGGAACATGAAGAAGAGAGAAAAGGGCACGTGCAGAAAAGTGAAGAGGCTATGTTGTTTGTGGTGATCTATGGCGCGAAGCAAGGAAGGAAGATCCAAGTTCGCGCGAGTGGGATACAAACGGAGAAGAGATCGCGTGAGGAGGAGAAGAAGGCCGTTGGAGCATGTGGGTGGGTGTGAAATGGGGCGATTCTGCAGAGGATGAGTAACGCACCTGGGACATTGGTACTACCACTACAGTATCTACTGTCTCTATCTATCTATATATATATATATATATATATATATATATATATATAAATAAGGAAAATGATAATTCACAACTCAAATCCTTACCACTCCTATAAATAACTCTCTTTTAATATTATAATAATAGTTTTGCTTTATTTTTATTTTTATTCAATCATTTTATAGATTATTATATTAATAAAAGTGAGTTGTTTGAAGGGTTATATGATTTCGATTCTCAAAATATCACCCCTCATATATATAATAAGCTTTTTCAACTCATTATTTTTAAATACATTAATACAACCCTCCAATCAATATAATAAGTTAATTAACTAACCAAATATCTAAAACTCTTATATTATTTTTTTTAGATAGTTTAATAATTAATTATTTTAATAATATCAAAATTAATAATAATTTTTTTAAAACATCAAACACAAGATTGTACATCAATTTCATTCACTCAAGTAACACATTTCAATTTTTTTTAATTCATTGATGGTGTTTTGTAGGTGGTAACTCAAAGTATTTATTAAAGTTAATCAATATTTTTAAAAACCAATTCAAGGTTCAGCATTTAAAGGAGTTAAATCGAATTTAATAAATTATATTTTTATAATATAATAAATATATATCAGTTTATTATTAATAATAATTTTTATAAAAAATAAAATAATAAAAATTATTATCATTAAAATTTATAATGAATATTATAAATATAAAATATATTAAAAAATGAAAATTTATTAATTATTAAAATAAAATAAAAATTAAATAATTATTATTTAAAGTTAATATATATATTATGAAATAAAAAATTTAAATATATTATATTTTTTATAGAAAAATTATATTAAAAATTTGATATTAATTTTTTTTTATCAAAATTAATTCAATTTAAAAATTTAGTTAATTTTTTTTTCAATTTTATATGAACTTAATTATTTATAACCAACAGAATATGCCAATTCAATTCAACTAGTTGGATTTATTTTTTTAAAACAATGTTTAAAATGAATAGTATAATGCACGTATTTTAGACTTACAAAATGTTGACTAACCCAGTAATGATAAAAATTCATATAAAAACATACTTTGATACTTGTTAAAAAGAAAATCAAATCATACACCTATTTTACTTTTTATATTATAAATTAATTTCACTCATAATCCTATCAAAAATTTATTTGGTAAAAAAAAAATAATAGTTGAACTAGATAAATAATTTCCGCCATGACATTTCACTAACACCACCATAAGTTATAATTAATTAGTAGATTCGATGGATCAATATTATAAATAATATATTTAAAAATAAAATATTTAAATAGATTTTTTTTATATTTATTGATAATTTAATAAAAAAATAAATTTATCTAATATAATACAAATGTTTTTCTCTTTTTATTTTTTTTCTTTCTCCATTTATTTCTTATTTTTTTCTCTTTCACTTTTCTCTCATTCTATCTTACTTCAACTTAAAAATAATAGATTAAAATTTAATAATATTATTATTATTATTGTAAAATAAAAATTTTAAATAACCCAAAATATTATAATTTAATATATTATATTTAAAAAATATTATATAATAAATTTGAGATGTTACAAATATTATTATTATATTGTAATTATTAAAAAAATATTTATTTTAAAGTATTTTTTTTAATAAATATTTTTTAAAATTACTTAATATAATTAATTATCATAACTCAAAATTATTATAACTAGATGTAATTATTAAATAAAAATTATATTTACTTTATAAATTTTTAATAATTATTTATTGTGATAAAATAATTTTAAATTAATTATTTATATCATAAAAATAAAATTATTTATTGTCATCATAATTTTAAATAATTAGTCAGTATTTTTTTAGTTTTAATATTATTTTTAAAATATTTATTTTAATATATTTTTATTAAATTCTAATACAGTAGTTTAATTAAAAAAATAAATAAGAAAGGAGAGAAATAAAAAAAGTAAGATAAAAAAATAAAAATTAATAAAGAAAGAGAAAATTTTTAAAAATAATATAAAAAAAACTAAATGAGTCTATTTAGATAAATAATAAGTAATTTTTTTCAAATATTATATTCTTAAGATTAATTAGGTTGGATATTTAATATATTTAAGTATTCCGTATTTTTTATTATATTATTTTATTTTAATAAATTAAAAGTTTAATTTTTATATTAATTGTAATTTTAGACGTATTAACTAAAAATTATTATTATTATTTTTTAACTTCTTTTATATTTATAATAATACATAATTTAGTATATAATGGAATACTTCATTTAATATATTATTTTAAATTATAATAATAATAATATATTACTGAATATCTCATTTGTTATTACTTATAAAAGTAGAAAAAGAAAATAAAGTATGCGCATATATTTCAATAGACATACTTTGTCTTTCAAGGTGGTTAATTTTGTATTATGATTTTAAAATATGATTAAATTAATATAAAAAATAATTTGTCTACGTCAAATTAAAGAAAAAAAAATTGTTATAGATACTCATTACTTCAAACCTACGCATATATATATATATATATATATATATATATATATATATATATGATTGATCAGATGAATTATTTGAATCTCCCATTTTAATATATTAAATCCTTTTGTAATCATAGTGATATATGATTAATCAGATGAATTTATTATCTTCTCAAAATTTTCTGAGATATTGGGTATTGGACAAGTCAACAGTATTTGTATTGTTTGATCCAAGCCCATGGAAGAAACAACTAAAAAGAAAAACCTTAAACAAACTAACCTAACTCCAAAACAATCTGGCATGTCTAGAATACCTTCAATCTGCATAGTCAATATCTCAGAATTCACTGTTAGTTCTTCCTGTTCATCAACTGCTTTAAGTTTATGCTCATCTTTAATATTATATTTAGATTAAGCATCTATTTTATTTCCTCAAAGAGTTGACACCATCACTTTAGTATTAAAATTTGATCCTTCAATCATTGAAAAGTGAAATCCAAATCATTGTCTAATGCAGATCATAGGGTTGATGTCTGAATATTTACAAATAAGAGATTGGATTCATGTTATTATTTTTCTCATTAACCCATTCAATCAATCTTAATTTATTTACCAAATTGATGTCACTTTCCATTTTCCAGAGAACAAATTGCCATCTCATATATATATATATATATATATATATATATATATATATATATATTTGACAGTTGAAAACTTCTCAAGTCACAAACATGATCTGATATTTTAAATTCTGTTTGAAGCTTAAAAAGCCAAGAACAAGTGGGCATTGAAGGATTCAATCAGAAGATTGACAATTTTACTGAACTTCCAAGATACTTCCAATCAGAAAATGCCCAATTTTAGGTAGGAGAAGATTTTAGTCTCCATCATGATTCATGACAAGCACTTTCTATCCTTAGCACAAAACACTTGTTAAAAAAATAAAGACACATTAAACTATGTACCAATGTTGGATTTATGCATAAACCTGAACCAGAACCACCCAACATCTGCATAATAATCATTAAAAAAAAATCGTGGTAATCTGTTGAGGGTGTGATAATTAAAAACAATAACAACAATTATGATTACATATAAAATGGATGGATGAATGGAACTATCATGACAAAACCAGCTAAGCTAACTATATATAATAAGTATGAGATGAAGGTTTCAACTACTAACACCACAATGCAGAAGCAACAGCAGCACCAAACCAGAATGCAGAATGTTGCGTGTGTGGTCACATTTTGGTTAAAAACCATGTGTGGACATGTCTCAAACGGCAAGGCCACATCCTAATTTTGATATCCCACCACCCACAACATCCACCCTAATGCTTCACATTATCAATTTCAAAACTCATCACAATTGAACTCACAACCCTTCCCTGTTCCTCACCAACATTCTGGTTCATGGACTCATTCCAACAAAAAATCATTTGCCAGAGTCCCATGATTGGTACTTTTTAATTTAAATCAAATCTTCCTCGTATCCATCTAACTCATAAATCAATTCATACAACAAGGTTGTCTGCTTGATCCATGATTTCAAATTTCATGTAGGGAGACTCTTGTCATTTATAAACATCTTAATTACATGGTTTCAACATGATTTATTATAATAAACTTTATTTTTTACCTTTTATGTTTAAAAATGATCCATTTTAGTCCCTAAACATACAATTTTAATTTATTTTAGTGGTTTTACACACCATTATGAATCTTTTTTTATTTTTACTGTTTAAATTTAAAAAAAAAAACAAAAGATATCGAAAATATCATGTATAAAATTAAACTTACTAATTTTTAAGTTAAGAGCTAAAAATATAAAACATATTCAACTATCAAACAAGTGATTTAGAGACCATGGAATCTAATGATTGTTGTTTTTGTAAAATTTGAGTGACAAGAATCATCCATCTTTTTGAAAATATTGGATGGGTTTAAATAATGAAATGTCTATGTCTAGGTATAATCTAATGTGAAAGATTTTTTATTTTTTATTTTTAAGCATGTGTAGTGTTGGTTTTGGAACTTTGTTAACTATATAAGTATAGGAAGCACAATTAACTTTAGGATTTTGGGTCCCAATGGAGGATTATGCAATATAGATTTAGGACATGAGGACCCTCTCTAAAGAGGGTCAAGAAGAGAAGCTAGGAATATAATTTTAAAGGTGAATTTGTTTGATGGCCAAAAAGGGTAATTTCTCTTTTCTTTTTCTTTTTTTATTCTTTGTCCTTGAGTGAAAATGCATGTGAGTTGTGTGAGAGTGAAGGGAATGAATTGGAATTGGCACACATCTCACGTTGTTTATTTATTGGTGTATGTGTTGGAAGTAGAAAGTTGGGTTGTTGTTAATGTATCTAAGTTGTCTTCTGACAAAATCTAGGTATCGAAGGAAACCATGT